GGCAATTGTGATTAGTTTAATATCAATAAATTTATTAAATAAATTAAAAAGTTGAAAAAACTTTGGCGAAATTGGTTATAACCGATTTAACTGACTAAAGCCAATTAATTTAAAGTTGATTAAAATACTTAAATTGGTTCAATTTGGTTAATTTTGTTGAGAAAAATTGATTAAGTCGGTTATAGTATTCTTTAACCGAATTAACTGATTTAACCAAATGTTCACCTTTACAGGTTGTGCAACTGACAAATGTGACGTATAGCCTTCTTTGCAACAGTGTGGTCCATTTGGTTGGTTAAGAATGACATGGTCTTTAAAGGCAATGTTTGAGATTGTACATAGGTTTTTGAGCTTCTTAAAATTAGAATAACTCATTAGGTTCACTATGAAGATAGTTAAGCTAGCGAAAAGAAATGATGTATGGCAGAAATTACAGGTTGGTAGCCTTAAATTTAACATTGACGTGGCCTCACATGGCAACCTAGGAGAAAGAGTTATTGGGGGAATACTTAGAGATGCTAATGGAGACATCATGGCTTTATTCTTAAAGGCCATTAGAATTATTGATTCAAATCTTGCTGAGCTATTAGCAATTAAGGAAGCTGTACTCATTTTTGTAGCTTTTACTTAGTTAACAACTCACAAACTAATGCTGTAAAGTAACTTAACTAATATTGTTAAATGGATAACCAATCCAAATGATGTCCCTTAGAGAACGAGAAAAGTAATTATCCAAATTCACAAGTTGCTGGAAAAAGTATTAGATTGGGAATTTGTACATGTATTTTAGTCAACAAATGAGGACACTGACTTATTAATAAAAGGTGATGTTCAGAGGCTTTAAAACTTGTTCTGGATTAATTGCATATTCATGCAGCTAACATGTGAGGGCATGGTTGGGATAGAGAACTTGGGAAATTAAGCACTAAATGGACTGGTTCTGGTTATGGCTCTTATTGTGAATAAAGGGGGTTCAACTCTTAAGTCTGTATAGTTTCTTTTTTTTCTCAAAAGACCTATCCAGTTTCTATACTCTTTGATTTTATTCAATTTAGTCTTTGTACTCAAAATCGAAGAAATTTTATCTCTTGATTTTAGGAATTGTTTCAATTTAATCTCTTCTCTTAACGACATCCAATTTTGCCATTAAAGGGGATGACGTCAGTGCTAACGTGTCACATTTTGATGATGTGGTGCTAAGATGATGACAAGGCATGTCACATGGCATCAACGTGATGACATGATAATGCCATGTGACACTAATATGATGATGTGGCAATACTGATGTGGCACTGGCATGCTGACATGTTAGTGCCACATGGTAGATAAAAAAAATTTAGTCATGTCATATGGATTAAATTGAACAAAAATATATAGTATAAGGACTAAATTATACAAAATTGAAATGTTAAGGGACTAAATTGAAAAAAATATTTAAAAAATATCAATTTTTAATTTGATTATTGATATATTTATTAATAAGCTAAATATTTAAGTGTAAAAGATTTATGGTGTTAAAAATATATATAAATATTTTCTTACTTGATTATTTGATTATAGAACATGCATATTAATTTACCATATTTTACAAAAGTTAAGTTTGAATTCTCTTTCTATAAAAAAAATTTGAAACTTTTATGAAAAATTTCATATTTAAAATCAAATTTAGATGAATAACTTGTATTACGTTATAATAAAATAATATAAAATGAGTAAATAATTTTTTTTCTTCTATTTATAATAGTATAAAATTTTAAAATTTATTTAACTTAGTTTTTAACTTGAGCTAAACTCAAATTAACAAACTAGGTTGATTTAGCTACAACTTTCACAATTTAGAAATACTCATTCTTTGAAATTATTCAAGTCTTACCCAATTTACCTTTTATTTAAATGTACTCAAAGCTTCTTATAAAACGATTTTGTTTTAATTCAAATACCACAATCAAATTCTGTAAAATTTAAATTTAAATTATTTATTTGGATCTACAAAAAAATATTAATAAAATAAATTGATACAAATATTTACAATTATACTTAACTTTATCAACCATAAATGTAGTCTTTAATTTAAGAAATTTCAATTTAAAAAATATAACTTGAAATATTAAACAAAATAAAAACATAAAAAATAAATTAAAAATTAAAAAGTTAGAACTCAGATTCTATGGTTGAAATAAGAGGTTGTTATGTCTAAATTAAGCAAGTTAGAATAAGAAATTATTTTCATAATCATCGCTAATTTCATATCTCCATTCTTCATTTTTTTAAAAGAAAAAACTAAATCAATTTATTTTGCTAATTTGAATTTAACTCAAGTTAAGAACGGAGTTAAATAAATTTTAAATTTTTATATTATTATAAATAGAAGAAAAAAATTTATTTAGTCTTTTTATATTATTTTATTTTAACGTAATACAAGTTATTCATTTAAATTTGACTACTTTAAATATGAAATTTTGTCAAAATTTTTTTATAGAAAGAATTCAAACTTAATTTTTGTAAAAAAGATAAATTAATGTACATATTCTCGAATCAATAATCAAGTAAGGAAATATATATATATATTAATACTATAAATCTTTTACACTTAAATATTTAGATTATTAATAAATATATCAATAATATACTTAAAGATTTACATTTTTAAATATTTTTTTCAATGTAGTCCTTCAACATTTAAATTTTGTTCAATTTAGTCCTTGTATTATATACTTTTGTTCAATTTAATCCCTCTAACATGATAGAATTTTTATTTTGGAATTTTTTTAATTTGCCATGTCATCATATAAAGGCAATGTCATCAAAATGCGCCACACCAACGCTGACGTCAGTCTTGATGTCATCCCCTTTAATGGCAAAATTGGATGTCGTTAAGAGGAGAGACTAAATTGAAACAATTCTAAAAATCAAAAGACTAAATTACTTCAATTTTGAGTACAGTAAATAAATTGGACAAAATTGAAGAATACAAGGATTGAATAGGTCTTTTGACCTTTCCTTTTTCAACTTGTTTAATCACCAACACTCTCTTTCGCCAAGTCTTCTAGTCATTAATAAGCCTTTGCGTATGCATCCTTTTCTCCTTGGTAGATTGGAACCTTTTTTGTAACTTTTTTTGCTTTTTGTATACATATTACCAAATGAAAGAAATCAAAGAATGATATTTTGCTTTTAAAAAAAAAATAGTAATACTTTTCCTTTGCAAAGGGAAAGTTACTTTATATCTATAATCGAAAGAAACCGCATACCCTTTGCCTATTATAATCACATTATAATGGAAAGACTTTAAAATATGAGGGTGTTTGGTTTGGTGTAAGGGGAAGACATTTCCTATAATTTAAATGACTGTAATCATTTAGTAGCTTTTGGTTGGCAAATAGAGGATGTAATGTGCTTGCAATTGTCATCACATTGCAAGGAGAAAAGGGAATGTCATTCCCTTTTCTCATAGATGGAAAGTTACATATTTTTTTTTTCAAATTGACCTTATCTTCTTCTTCTTACTTTCTTCACTTTCTTCACTTTCTTCCTTCCTATTTCTCTCTCCTTTTTCCTTCCTACCTTTTTCTCTTTCTTCTCACCTTGCCTTTTTCTTTTTCTTACTGTCCCCATGAAGGGTAGCTCATCACCAACACATTGGGTCAAATTTCACCACCAAATCTGAAAATTGAAGAGATTGGAACTTTGGGTTTAGGGAAACCTTAATTCAGTTTTTCAAAAAATTTGAAAGTATTTTGACAAAAATTTGTACTTTTGATGTTGAAAATTGAGAGAGAAATAGTTTTTTTATATATATATAATTAGGGGAGGGGGGATTTAAACCCTACTCTTTAGGCAAAGGGATAATACACCAACTAATGAGCCAAATGCTTATGTGCAAATTGAGAGAGAAATAGTTAAATCGTTTAGAACCAAGAAAATTTACTAAGGAATTAAGAGAATTTGAGAGAGAAAGATGTTTGGAGCAACCACCAGAAACGTTTAAAATTGAATATCTATCAATAAATGAGAACATTTATCTATAGATTAAGTTTAAACTTTTAACAGCAGCTATTTATCTATCGATAGATAATGTGATCTATTGATAGAATTTTTTATTTATCGATAGATTTGTCTTTGGATAATGTTTTTTATTTTTAATTTTTATAAGTTTAAGGTGAAAATAAATATTTAGTAATTTTAATATTTTAATATTTATATAATTAATATAAAATATTATGTTATTTTTTAATGTTATTATTTATTATTGTAATTGCTTAAAATTGAAAAGTAAAATTTTATATTAAAAATTGTAAATTTATTCAACTTATATGTTTTTTATACTTAAGGTAATTTTATTAATTTACATTACATTGTCAATAAAATACTTACAAACCAAACATTACAATGTAATCCTCCTAACAATCACATTCCCTACAATAATCACTTCCTCTTATTATACCAAACGTTGAAAAGTTATATTCTCAGCAATCACATTTCTAATAATCATACACCTAGCAATTATATTTTCAATAATCACATTCTCAACAATCATATACCTAGTAATCACATTCCCACTAATATACCAAATGCAACCTATGTTTTAGACAAACCAAACATTGTAATATGAATACATTCATTTAAAATACAAGGAATGTTCCTCAGATGCATTATACCAAACGCCTCCTTAATGTTTGGATATAATGTTGTTGATTTAAAGCTTAAATGCAAATTCATAAAGAAAAAGCTAACAATATGATACAAATCTCAAAAACAAAAAAAATTATCAATGAAGATAGAATTGAAACAGAAACTATTTTGTTTTCTTTTATAATAATAAATACAATGCTAAAATTCATAAAATTGAAATAAATAGAAGAGTACGGCTGCAAAAGGACGTCTAAGCAAATCGAAGATGACCTATAGCATAAGCTATTGTTGAGTAACCTTTGAAAATGTGAGCCCGGCCGGCCCAGCTCTAGAACCCGCTCCCTCTTCTTTTTATGGAGTTTGAAATTCAAAACAGACAGGAGCGTCTTCGTTTTCTCTCTCTTTCCCTCTATCAAGTTTGAAATTCAACGGAAAGGATCTCAAGACTAAGGAGCGTCCTCTCTTTCTCTCAAACTCAATCCCATTCGAGATTTTAGGCATAAAGAAGATCAAAATGGACAAGTATGAGAAACTGGAGAAGGTTGGGGAAGGTACCTACGGCAAGGTTTACAAGGCCAAAGACAAGGCCAGCGGCCAATTAGTGGCTCTTAAGAAGACCCGTCTCGAGATGGATGAGGAGGGCGTTCCTCCCACCGCTCTCCGAGAAGTCTCCCTCCTCCAGATGCTCTCCCAGTCCCTCTACGTTGTGCGTCTCCTCTGCGTCGAACACGTCGATACCAACAAGAATGGCGGCTCCAAGGCCAACCTCTACTTGGTCTTCGAGTACCTCGACACCGATCTCAAGAAGTTCATCGATTCCCATCGCAAGGGACCCAATCCCAGGCCTCTGCCCCCCTCCCTCATTCAGTCCTTTCTGTTCCAGCTCTGCAAAGGCGTCGCCCACTGCCACAGCCACGGAGTCCTCCACCGCGATCTGAAGCCCCAGAACCTTCTACTGGACAAGGAAAAGGGCATCCTTAAAATTGCAGATCTGGGCCTTGGCCGTGCTTTCACTGTTCCTCTTAAGAGCTACACTCATGAGATTGTCACGCTCTGGTACAGGGCCCCGGAAGTTCTGCTTGGCTCCACTCACTACTCCACCGCCGTCGACATGTGGTCCGTTGGATGCATCTTTGCTGAAATGGTTAGAAGGCAAGCACTGTTCCCCGGGGATTCCGAGTTCCAGCAATTGCTTCACATTTTCAGGTTTGTTTCTCCCTCACAGCCCCATTTGCCAGCCGCATTCTTTCACTAATTTGGAGTAGTTCTCATGCTTTGTTCTTGTTCCCTGATAACGCAAAAGGTTGCTGGGCACCCCAACTGAGAAGCAGTGGCCTGGGGTCACCGCTCTAAGGGATTGGCACGTCTATCCACAGTGGGAGCCGCAAAGCCTGGCACGTGTTGTTCCTTCCCTTTCTTCTGATGGAGTTGATCTTCTATCCGTATGTCCTCATCGCCTCATTCTATTCTAGAAATTGCCCTTTTCTATAACAAAAACAAATCTCAGTTAAGGATATAGGCTCATTTCAGTGCTACATATACATTGAAGAAGAATTACTATTAGAACTTTTAACACTTGTACTAAGCTGCGAACTAGCAAAGTCCCATAAAAGTCAATTTGATTTTTATGAATTCATTCAATAATTTATTTTCCAACAGATTAGAATCGCTCTAAACTCTGAGACGGCCTAATCCATTTTCAAAGAAAGGGCCTTACATTGACAATTGCAGTCTTGCCACGTGATTGAATTTTTTGAAAAACATAAAGTGTAGCGCAATATCAACATTTAGGCCATGTGAATAGGAGCCAGAGGGTAGAGATATAAAATGCTTCTATGTAAACAGATACTGTAGTTGGAATATAATAATCGTTTTGAGTAATTTCAATCATTAAAAACTTTTTATCCGATGATGTGCATGAAACGATTTAAAGAATAGAAAGGAGCAAGAAGCAATATGCAAGAAATATATTCAATTAGTATAATCAACACTTGAATGTGTCATTCCAGAGTGGATATGTGACATGTTTGTGAGATTTCTATGTATATCTATGTGCACAGCAAAAGATGGCATTCAAGTTAGCCATTTTGGTTGCCCTTTCTTCTTTTGATTCCTATTTCTTTTATGTAAGCTTTTTACAAACAACGTATGAGATAACACAGGATATGCCTGAAAAAGGGTTGTAAGAGAGTTATGTGGCTTTGATAACACCTCAATCATGGTGATATATATAATGGAAAAATGGTTAAAATGTAACAGAGAGAAAAAGGATAAAGGGAAAGTTTGTTTAGAAGATCATGGAAGTTGTTATTGTCGAAGATGAGAAGCTTGTATAAGGATGGGACTTGTTTACTGGGGTTTCTTTTTTCCCCTCAGTGATCTCATCTGAAACCAAAAGTGTATAGCAATGGAGTTTCTTGAAACCAGATTTGTCGATTTTAAGTCATACATATTATCATCAAATCATTACATTACAATATAGCACATAACAAAAATGTTTCCCTCGTATGATAACTCTTAGCCCATGCTTGTGGTACTATTTTATTGCATACCTCTGCATTAGAGACAGATTTTGGAGGGTAATAGCTTGCTGTGTTTTGTTATTGCAGAAAATGCTTAAGTATGATCCAGCAGAGAGAATCTCAGCGAAAGCGGCAATGGATCATCCTTATTTTGACAGTCTTGACAAGTCCCAATTCTGAATTTGATTGCTTGGTTGTAGTACTATATGGAGTTTACTCTTTCTTTTCCCTGCACTGAGTTCAAAGCACCTCTTTGTAGAAAGCTTCAAAATATGTGGGGGGGAGTTAGTCGTCATCGTCTAGGTGATCCAGATAAGCTTTGCCAAAAGAATTTCATTTTTGCACATGTGTTCATGTAGCTGCTAGCTTTTCCCAAGTTTGTAATAGTGATACATATGAACTAGTTAAATGTGAAACTCTTGTTGATATCCAATTTAATGCTATTTAAATCAATCTATTGAGCATCTTTAGGCAACTTTGAATACCTTTGAGTCTGTGGATTGATTTTAGCAGCAGCTGTGAGTTGCATTTTACTTTTGATTCTGTGGAAAGATTATAAATGATTTAGGTTCATAAGAATTAGTAATAGGTAATCCCGTCAGGCTGGCTGTGCTTTAGACGATCACTTTTCCTCTTGGGGATATATCCATTGCATCAGTAGATCTCTTGACGCATACTAGCAGGCTAAGTGACAGTGCTGGAGATCTACCTTGGGTTTACGATTTAGTACTACCCTGACTTCCGTGACTTCCGTGGCTAGCTGGCCATGGGGAATTATTAATGGTGCTGCCCAGGACAGCAGGTGGGCGGATTAGTGGATCTGAAACAGGATTTGTGTGGCAGGATAACACGCTTGAAATGTTCTTCGTTGTTTGCTAACGAATTTATGATCAAGCTTTAAGATAGGTCGTTGTTAGCAGAAAGATCTTTGTTTAGTAGATTTTGTGAGAACAAATAAGCCGTAACTGATAAAGCTTGTTGACCAATAGGTGGGACTCGGATCAGTGATAACATATCCCAACTTCAGCAGCGTCTTCAAAGGATGGTTGAGGATCCTCTCCGCTACTTAAAATTAGTAGTGTATAAATTTATCACTAACCGGTTAACACATTTCTAGGAGTATACGTGTAATTAGAAACATTAAGAAAATTTGGCTGCACATGCTAATTTACATCAAATAACAGTTAATTGCTAAAAATTAATATTTATACATTTAGATGTACTCAAAATTTTGATAAAATAATAATTATTTACTTAAATCATTTAAGTAATTCTGACTATTTCTCTTATGGAAACATTAAGGCATTTCAAAATTATTCAAGGACCACTCAAACAAGAAATCTTGATCATTGTTGTTATTTCAAAACTCTAATCATTTTAAAGTTAGTAAAGATAACAAATTTGTTGACATGTGGCACACAATTGGAGGGGTTCTAGCCTGGAGCTCTTCTTTGAGTTAAGACACGCTCATTATTATGAGAAAATGGGTTGCGTTTTTTTGAATTTTTATTTTCAAATTGTCAAGATATTTTTTGCTATGCATTTTAAGTGTTTACTATAATTTGAGGGTTTTTATGGTCATTTGATGGTGGAAGCCTTTTTTATTCCAAAGGTATTGTTAGTTTCCAATGTTATTTTGGTTTTTTCTCCTCGTTCAGTATTTTGGTTTTTTATTCCAAAATATTTTTTCCTTTGTTATCCTTGGGGGATCAAGGCTCATCCATTGATATAACTTTAAATTGTTTCTTTTTTTTTTGGTAGAATGAGATTTCTTTTTGGAGTTTTTTGATACTTAAATTTTATAATTACATAATGAGAGCATTTCCAATTTATTAGCAAGCATAGGGGTTTTAAACTAATACCCATTTATTTTAGGCACTGAATGAGTAGAATTTATTAAGTTATTTTTTATGATTAATGTTTTAGAGCATTGTTAAAATATTGAATTTTACAAACTTTAAATCAATGCCCATGTTTATAAAGTCAATTTTCAACATTTTTCGTGTTGTACTTATTGGTTTTCCAGGATTATATTTAATCCTTAGATAGGGATGAAAAATCACATTACTGTAGAAAAGAAGAGAAATCTTTATGAAGAGCAGCTCTCCAGTTCCTATTCTCTGATCCAAAAGGATGCAGATAATGGGAGTTTGCGCTCGCATAATCTCCATCAGCTAATAAATTTTTATTCTTTTTCCTCAAGCTTTTTAACTTTTATTTTTTCAGTCTTCTGCATCCCCCTAATGAGCATTGTTTTCCCTTTTACCCCTTGAGTTGTTACAGTTGAGAAAAATAAAAAAAAAAAATGAGCAGCAGCAAGGTGGCTAGTATCTGGGAATGGTGGGGGTGTAAAGTTATTGGTTCATCTTTGACTATTGATTTGCAGGTGTGTTTCTTGTTTTCTTCTATGTTTTTCAAAATTTTAACTATGGTTGTCACATTCGTATTTTTTTATACTCCTTTTTTATGTTCTTTGTTCTTTACTCAACATTTAATTGTTCAAAGTTTACAACCATATTGCCAACAATGTAAACAACAAATATAAAATCAATCGTAAATAAATGGATTTTTGTACACTTTGTTTTAGCAATTTATCACGAATTCATATTTTGATGTTTTCTTCAATTTTCTTTACTTAGCATTTACATTCGGAGTTTACAATCATATTGACAATAGTGTATAAAACAAATATAATTTGATCATAGATAAATAGATTATTTTCTACTCTAGCAGTTTGTCACGAATTAATATTTTTATGTTCTCTTCAGCAACTTTTCATGCTCTTTTGTAGTGAAGATTGCAAAAGTTGGAGTGACTCATTGTAAAGTGACATTTTCTTCTTCTTCTTGTTGTTATGAATTTTGGGGGTTTTCTTCATAATTTTTTTTTTAAAATTTCCGTGGTGTTGTTAAAACATTGAGTGCCTTTTTGGTTTTTCTTCTGCTTATGCTTATTTAGAATTTTTAGTTCAGAATATTAAAATTGTTTATGTTATTTTTTTAGTCAGTGTTGCTTTCTGCTTTTATTATTATAGGCCTATGCATTGTTGCATTTACAAAATTCCCTTTCTTTAAATATATAAATATATATATATATATATATAAAATCATAAATTCGTGTTTGCAGTTATTTGTTTGTACTTTGATTACATTATCTACATTATTTTGAATTTTTTTTAAGAAGTATGTAATTTTATTGCTTATTTCCAAAGTAATAATAAAATTTTGGACTTTATGAGTATATAAAATTAAAATAAATTAGAAGCAAAATAAAACCCCACAACATAATGCCTATATTTAGGGATGTCTTGGCTTTAAAATAGTGATCTTCTAATAAGCGAACAGCATCATAATAAACCCAAAGCTGCAAGCCCAAATATGTTGCAGCAAAAACTTTTCCCATTAAATTTCATATTATTGCAATTTAAAAAGCTGTATCTGCCGCCAGCAACTTGTCCGAGCGTGGCAGCAATTACCCAATACCATGTCCCAGATCAGGAAACACTTAAGCCTTATTTTCTTAATAAATCAAGCATTAAATCACCGCAGTACACTGCTTATCCAATTCAAGACAACGCAATGCAGTTAATGCAAATCAAGCTTTATCCTTGGTTGTTATTAGTTTCCATATCCACATACTTTATTAGTGTCATCCACGAGTACACAAATACCTTCAATTTCTTTGTCAAAGTGGCCATGTAAATTTCAAATCTTCAGAGCAATTATTTTTTCTCGAATGGTTAATGTACAGTGATACCTCACTTGTCTATGTGATTAACTTGATACCAGGATCTAAGAACACATACTTCAGCAATGAATTACTTTACTCTACAGAATTCTTAAACTCACTTAAATTTTCTAGTATACCTGATCATGAATTAAATTTGAAAGTAGGTTGTGTGATAATGTTACTAAGAAATATTAATCAAAATTTTGGTTTATGTAATGGTACTAGACTTATAATTACACAATTAACTTCAAATGTAATAGAAGGCAAAGTCATTTCTGGCACACACACACAATTAACTTCAAATTTTCCATTCCTTGAATTGTTTTTGCTGTAAAAAATCATAAATGGCCTTTTGTGTTCAACAGAAAACAGTTCCAGTAGCAGGTCAAATATCAGAGAAGTTTGTGTTTGGGAGTTGATAGACCTTTCTCAGCCATAGGCATTACTTAATCTTAATTTCCTAGCTAGTGATGCAAAGGTAAACAAATATACCAGCAAAGTATATTATATATAAGTATTTAAAAGGTATTTCAGTTATTAACTATTGATGTTGTTAGCTTGAAAATGATTATTGTTTTGATTATGATAAAATGATCAAATTTGCTTAAACATTATTTGAGTGATCCTTGATGAATTTTTGAAAGAATTTAACTCTTATACATGCCCTCTTACATAATTACAAACTTGATTGTTTTAAGTTGTGTGAATTTACATTCACTTTATAAATGTCTACAAGCTTGAACGGCTTAGTTGTATGAGTGTTAAATTTGCTTGAATGAGTTCTTTCATGATCTCCTTAACCATT